GCTCCGCCCCCTCCCCCGCGCCGTCTCAGCGCCCCTGCGCGGCTCCAGCGCCCGCCCAGCGCACCCTCCGCCCCGGCCACTTTATTTCGGCACCGCACCCCCCCCCGCCCCGCCCCCTCCCCCGCGCCGTCTCAGCGCCCCCGCGGCTCCAGCGCCCGCCCAGCACCCCCTGCGCCCAGGGCCGAAAGTCTGGTCTGCGGGGGAGGCCCCCATTCAAGTGGCGCATAGCCGGCCCCCGAGAATACACCCGACAGACTCTGCGTGCAAAGCGACTGCCTTGGACAAGCGTTCGCAACACAAGGCCGCCGCGCACTTTGCACCGCGAGCCCCCAGCAGCTGAGTCCGCTCAGTAATTTCTTCCATCCCTCCTTGGACCCTGGAGGCCTCCCCTTGGAACCCTCTGTAGGCTTCTCGGGCGTCAGTTGGAGGCTTCCTGGGAACCCGCCAAAGGTCTTTGAAGCCATCTTGCGGGGGACGGCCCTTGGAGTCTCCTCGCGCTCGCCCTCTGGAGCCCCTCTTGCGGCCCTGTTTTGTTCACTCCTTCTGCGATGTCTGGCATCCTCTCCCCCCCCCCCCCCTCCTCCTCCACATCCTCCTCCTCCCCCTTCCTTTTTGTGCAAGAGCCATGGCACACGTGCCGCTTGTTCCCCCTCCCTCCCCTTCGGTGCCAATACCTCCCCCGCCCATCATGCAGGTCCAATGGCGAAGAATCGCTTTTGCTTGCGGACGGACCAGGAGCGGAGATCCTTTGTTGTGCCCGCTAGGCGGGCTCTGTCTGCCGCCTGGCCGACCTGCGGCCGCCCCGCTCAAGCTACTTGCAACGAGCTAAGTGCAGTCAAAAGTCTCCCTTCTGCACGCCCTCCTGCTCTCTTTCCCCGCCCCCACCCCACAATTTACCCATCTGGGTGGGCGACCACCCTGTCCTTGAAGAGAGGACGGGAGGATTGTGCGGTGGGGCAATGGGTGGCCAGAGTACGTAGTGAGTTGTGTGACTATGTTGCAGCGTTGCTGTGTTGTGTTTGGCTTACGTGGTTGTGTGTTGCTCTGCTGCATTGTTTGCTGTTCAGTCTCCACTGGAGGAGGATGAGGGCGAAGAGGAGGATCGTGATGATGATGATGATGATGATGATGAGGAGGAGGAGGAGGAGGAGGAGGAGGAGGAGAAGGGGGAGGAGGAGGAGGAGGAGGCGGGAGCGGAGGAGGAGATGAGGTAAGAGGGAGTCGGAGGAGGAGAGGACTAAGTGATCGAAAAGAGCGGTGGCGAAGGAGGACTGGGAGAAGGATTCGGACGAGGAGGAGGCGGAGGAGGGGGAAGGAGGAACAGTAATGAGGGGCTGCAGGCTGGGCTGAATGGAGGGTCAGAAAGGAGGGGCTGCTGGCACGGTGGATGGGGATGAACTAGAGGTGACTGGGATGTGTTCTGTTGGAAGAGGATACAGCGTGTTCTACCTTTACTGGTATGACAGCGGTTTCGGCAGCAATGGCAGTAGCAGGCTTCGTAGTTTCCATAGCAGACGCGGCAGCAGTAACCGGCACAGTAAATTTGCGTATGCCGATGAAGAGGAGAGGAGTAGGGGAAGTGAGGCGGAGGAAGATGAGGATGCGGATGAGGAACAGTGTAAACCCAATATTCATTAACGATGTTGGGATACATCCTCCTTCCAAGCTCCCTCTTCATAGGTACCTACAATGGTTCGTTGCCACTGAGGGACTTGCCCCGCTGGGGGGCCACCGTGTGAAACCCTGAAGCGTGCCGAAACCCTGCTCTCAGGATTTCAACGCAACTCCTTTACCAGACTGCTACGTCTAGGCGGTCCTGAATCTTGCCAGAACACCATTCGGCTGCAACGCTGCGAATCAACGTGACTGTTGCGCCCTGACAATCCGGGACTGTTCCGAAACAACAATCTTGGAACGTTCGCCATGAGAGCCAGTAGAATCCTTGCAAAGTTTAACGCGAATGTGCGCGGCGCTGAGGCGAGAGCCACAAGTTGGAAAGAAGCCGGCCTCAATCCGTGAAAATCTTGCAATGCTTCTGAACGAATGTGCGCGGCGCTAAGGCGAGAGCCACATGCTGAAAACGATCCTCCTTTAACCGGTGAAGTTCTTGCGTTTTGTTGAGCCACATTTTGAAAACGACCGCCGCCGCGCTAAGGCGAGGGGCACATTTTGGAATCGTGTCCCGAGGAGGACAAACAGAGGAGCAGAAACATATGGAGAAGACAGAGAGGGAAGTAAGCGAAGAAACGCAATGAGGCCGAGGAGGAGCAGCGGGCGGAGGCGGAGGCAAAAGAGAAGGAAGACGACGACGAGGACGCGAAGGAGGATGCGTGCGTCCTCCATGGCCGCCCCTTCGGGCAGAGGCTTCGTCCGCGCTGCCGCCTGCGGCCGCCTTGCTGCGGCGCTTCGCGGCAGAAAGCCCAGGCCAAGGGGTGTCATCTACATCATCTACAGCATCTACAGCATCGGCAGAATTATCAACATCAGTATTATCATAATCTGCACCATCCTGATATCATCAGGATCATCATTGTCAATAGTGCCATCAGTATCATAATCGTTAGCACGATTATCATGATCATCATCAGCATCATCGTCACCACCATCAGCGTCATCACTATCATCAGCATCATAATAATATGAACCATCATCATAGTCATCATCGTCGTCGTCGGCGTCGTCGTCGCCATCTTCATCATCATCATCATCATCATCAGCATCATCAGCAGCAGCATCATCACCGTCATCATCATCATCATCATATCATCATCGTTATCGTCATCACCATCATCAAATTTGGCAGACCTGTTGGCCGACCCCGCTGCTGGAAATCATCACCATCATCTCAGCATCAGCATCACCAGCACCATCACTATCATCAGCATCATTATCCAGCATCATCACCACCACCATCATGAGCATCACCATCAGCATCATCATCAGCAGCAGCATCATCATCACCATCACAATCACCATCATCATCATCATCATCATCATCATCAGCAACATCATCATCATCATCATCATCATCATCATCATCATCATCATCATCATCGTCATTGGCATCGTCATCGTCATCGTCATCGCCATCCTCACCACCACCATCCGCATCATCACCAGCATGAGCAGCATAATAACGTTACCCTTTAGTTTTCCTTCTTGTACTCATGCTGTTCCTCATTTTCCTTATCTCCCCGCCGCTCCTCCTCATCTGCTGCTTCACCCCCTTCTCCCTGCTCCTCCCCTTCCTCCGTCCTTCTCGACTTTCATCATATCTTTTCCTCCTCCCTACATCCTGTCTTTTGTGCCCCTCTCTCTTTGTTATCTTGCGGGTTGCGGCCCCGGAGAGGCAGCCAGCCCTTGATCCTCGATTTGCCCATCTCCTGCTCGCCTCCAGCACAGAAAGCGGCAGGTGCCAGCACCTTTTTTGGGGGAGCCCAAATCGGCCGAGCCATTTTGGAGATTGGGTACAGGGACAGGGATCCGCACACGTTCCGCGTCCCCTCCTCCCCCCTCCAGGACACCAGTATCGTGGCCTAGGTGTTGCAGAAGTCCCCAAGTGGTCTGGTGAGCACACTGCCGGATGAGAAGCACCATCATTTGTCTCATGGCCAGCATTTTGAGGAGCGTAGGCCGTGAGTTGACTAGTTCGTCTTCCTCTCCTCGCCTCGTCATCGTCGCCCTCCACCTCCGCTGGATGAGGCTCCCGCGGGCTCACAGGCCCCCAGCTGAACATGGCTGCCCGCAGGTTTGATCACATGGTCGTTTGGGGGCGTTCCGGCGCGCCCTTTTGGCTGCGCTGAGCTCCGTCCCGCTCTGTGCATGGCTTGCTCACCGTCCTGTGTTTCCCCTCAGCTTGTGGCACGGCCTGCCCCTGCTTGCACGGCGTTCGACCCGCTTCGCGCGCCCGCGCACCAAAAAAGTTGTGGGGCGCTCCGGCGCTTGGCTCTCGCAGGACCGCCCCCTCCTCCGACGACTCGATGTCCGACGAGCCTCGGGGCCCGAGGCCTCCCGCCCCTCTGTCCGGGGCGCCGGCCCTCCGACCCCGGCCGGTGCGCTCCAGGGCACGCCGCGGGGCCCGCGGCGGGCCTCCGGAGGCCGCGGGTGCAGAGGAAGCCCCAGGGGTCGAAGTTTTCTTCGCGCGTCGCGCTTCGGCTCCTCCTCCTCCTCGTCCTCGTCCTCCTCCTCCTCCTCCTCCTCCTCCTCCTCCTCCTCCTCCTCCTCCTCCTCCTCCTCCTCCTCCTCCTCCTCCTCCTCTTCTCCCCTGGGAGGCGGCGCGAGAGAGCGCGAAGCTGTTCGCACTTGGCGCTTCGCGCAGCGCGGAGCGCGAGGCTGGGAGCCCCTCGAGACCTGGGCTCGGCACGTCCTCGCTTCGGGGGGTCCTCGATTGCCGTTGCGCGGCTCGGAGAAGAAAGCGCGCTACAAACACAAAGTTTTGGCGCTCCGCGCGGACTTCTTGGATCTGCGCTGGGCCCCCCTGGCGGCGCCTCTAGCGCCGCCCCTGGCGCGCTCCGCGCGCCAGGGAGGGGGGCCAGCGCAGATCCCAGAAATCTGCGCGGAGCGCAAAAAAGTTAAGGTTTATGACGTTTTTTTTTTCTTCCTCTAGACACGTCCTTGCCTCGGGAGGTCCTGGATTGCTGTTGCGTGATGCCCGTTCCTTTGAGCGATTGCCCGGCCCACAGGGACGTGCACTCACAACGGCTTCATACGTCCGTCCGTGCTCCTCTCGCTCCGCTGTCCTCAGCGTCGCGACCTCCTCTCGCTCGGCTCGGCTTGCCGTGATGCGAGCGGCGCGCGCGCGAGCCGACGCCATGCTGACGTGATTGTATGTTCTTGCCCCTGGAGCTCGAGGCCCTCCAGGACACCCGACCAGCGCCTCGCCCCCCCCACCCCCCCCTCCCAGACAGCCTGCGGCATGGCTTCTGCGATCCGCGGCCCCGGAGCTCCCTCCTCCTCCTCCCCTCCTCCTCCTCTTCCTCTCCTCTTCCTCCTCCTCCCTCCTCCTCCTCCTCCCTCTCCTCTCCTCCTCTCTCCTCCTCCTCCCCACCTCCTCCTCCTCCTCCTCCTCCTCCTCTCCTCCTCCTTCCTCCTCCCTCCTCCCCCCTCCCTCCTCTCCTCCTCCTCCTCCTCCTCCTCCTCCTCCTCTCCTCCTCCTCCCCTCCTCCTCCTCCTCCTCCTCCACCGCCTCCTCCTCCTCCTCCTCCTCTCCTTCGGCACCCCTCCTCGAGTGACCCTCCCTCTTCTTCCGCTGGCCAAGGAAGGGTGGTGCTGGACCACGGGCAGCTCCTGTTCGGGAGCTTGGCGCCAAGGGCCCCCCAGAGCGGTCCAGGCTGCCTCGCGCGGGACGGCGCTAAGCAGGCGACCGCCTTAGGGGGGTGGGTTTGGGGAAAGGGGGGAGGGCTGGCAGGGCTGGGCAGAGTCGGGTGGGTGGGAGACGCCGTCATATATGTTCATCCATCCTCCTCCCTCTTGCTCCTCCTCCTGCTCCTGCTCCTGCTCCTGCTCCTGCTCCTCCTCCTCCTCCTCCTCCTCCTCCTCCTCCTCCGCCTCCTCCTCCTCCCTGCTGCTGCTGCTGCTGCTGTTGCTGCTGCTGTTCCTGCTCCGCCCCTCCTCCTCCTCCTCCTCCTCCTCCTCCTCCTTGTCCTCGTCCCTCTGCTCCTCCTCCTCCTCCTCCTCCTCCTCCTCCTCCTCCTCCTCCTTCTCCTCCTCCTCCTCCTCCTCCTCCCTCTGCTCCTCCTCCTCCGCCTCCTCCTCCACCTTCTTGTCCTCCTTCCTCTCCTCCCCCTCCCTTCCCAGACATCCTGAGCCCTGGAAGAATCGAGACGGCCAGTCTGTCGTCTCTTCTTGCTTTGGGGGGGCGAGATCTCTCGCATTGGGGACGCCAGCAAAAACGAGTCGGGATGAGCAAATACAGCCTTGGGAAATGAATCGAGAGGTCCAGGGGCCGACGCATTGAAAAATTCGAAGCGCCTTATTCGTGGGTCTCTCCATCCCTCTCTCCTTGCATTTATTGTTCTCTCTTGCCTTCGTCCCCCTTCCAATCTGGGAGGAAGGCGGATGAAAATGGGGAAGAGGAGGGATGGGGGGGAAGGGCGACGTGGATGAGGGAGGGGGATGTGAGGAATGACGATGGTGGGGAGGGGAAGAGTGGTAGCGAAGGAGAGGAAGGGGGGGAGGAGAACAAAGTGGATGGGAGGGGGAGGTGACGGGGAAGGGATGGGGGAGAGGGAAGAGAACTAGAGAGAGAGAGAGAGCGAAATAGAGAGCGAGAGAGAGAGAGAACGATACAAAGAGAGACAGAGAGAGAGAGCGAGAGAGAGAGAGAAGGAAGGAGAGGGAGGGCACGATCATTAGTTCAGTGTGAGTTGCCACTTGTGAGGTGCGATCGTTAACGAGCGTACGTAGTCATAGTTGTACTGTCATTACTTGTTTCCCTGTCGTTGTGGAGGACGACCAATGGAGAGGAAGCATGTTGCCAAATAATTCCCAGATGTATAAAACATGTGTTGAGCATGTTTTAGACATGTAAGACACATGTTGAACACATGCTTAGACAATGGTTCCGACACTTTAAACACACATTCCAAATTCAATGATAGGTCTGTTGGAGGGTCCATTGTCGTGGCATCCACAACCCTGTCGCTTCAGCGTGCCCGCTGCCAGTGCACCACCGACAGCGCCCTCGACCAGGCCATCGAGGCCTTCGACGCCGGCTGGGCCGTCAAGGGCTGCAGCGTGCGGCGCACGGCGGGCCCGGAGCAGCTGGAGGAGAGCGGGGCCCTGGCGCCGTCCTCTTCCGGCTGCACGCGGGAGCGACCATCCGCTATAGAGTGACCTTCTCCTCCTCCTCCTCCTCCTCCTCCTCCTCCTCCTCCTCCTCGTGCTCCTTCTCCTCCTCCTCCTTCTCGTGCTCCTCCTCCTCCTCCTCCTCCGCCTCCTCGTGCTCCTCCTTCCTCCTCCTCCTCCTCCTCCTCCTCCTCCACCTCCTCCTCCTATCCTCATCCACCTCCTCTTCCTCCTCCTATCACCCATCTCCCCCTCCTCCCCCTAGTGTTCCCCCTCCTGCTCCCTTCCCCCTCCTGCCTCCTCCTCCTCCCTCCTCTTCCTCCTTCCTCCTCCTCCCCTCTCCTCCTCCTCCTCCTCCTCCTCCTCCTCTCCTCCTCCTCCTCCTCCTCCTCCTCCTCCTCCTCCTCCTCCTCCTCCTCCCCCCCCTCCTCATCCTCCGCCTCCGTGCGGGTCCACTGGGGTCTCCAGATCGCCCCATGCGACGCGGCAGCAGCGGCGTGCGCGTCCGGGTTTGGCCCCCAGGTGCGCCCCCCTAAAGGTGTTCGCCGAGGGTCACTCTTGCCTGGGGCCACTCTTGAGTGTAGCCTGCCCCGCCTCTTTTTACGTCGGGCCTGTTCCTCAACAGGAGGAATATTCATTCAAAAATTAGCCTGGCGAAGGACCCAACCATATGCAGTTGTGAGTAAAGCTGGTGTGAGTACCGTCTTCGGTGGATCTCCCTATGGGGCCACGAAACGTGTGAGGGGTGTCCCGAAATGGGTGTGGGGGCGGCATGCGAACGTTGCCACTGGGGCCTTCGGTGGAGCTCCTTATGGGGCCACGAAACGTGTGAGGGGTGCACCGAAGTTGGTGCGGGGGCGGCATGCGGACGCAGCCACTGGGGCCTTCGGTGGAGCTCCCTGTGGGGCCACGAAACGTGTGAGGGGTGTGCCGAAATTGGTGCGGGGGCGGCATGCGGACCCTGCCACTGGGGCCTTCGGTGGAGCTCCCTATGGTGCCACGAAACGTGTGAGGGGTGTGCCGAAATTGGTGTGGGGGCGCATGCGAACCCAGTCACTGGGGCCTTCAATGGAAATCCCCATGGGGCCACGAAACGTGTGAGGGATGTGCCGAAATGGGTGTTGGGGAGGCATACGAACCAGGCCACTGGGGCCTTCGGTGGAGCTCCCTATGGGGCCACGAAACGTGTGAGGGGTGTGCCGAAAGGCATGCGGTGGGGGCCTGGGAGCTCCCTATGGGGCATGCGACCGTGTGAGGGGTGTGCCGAAATGCATGCGAACCCTGCCACTGGGGCCTTCGGTGGAGCTCCCTATGGGGCCACGAAACGTGTGAGGGGTGTGCCGACATGGGTGGTGGGGAGGCATGCGGACCCTGCCACTGGGGCCTTCGGTGGAGCTCCCTATGGGGCCACGAAACGTGTGAGGGGTGTGCCGAAATGGGTGGTGGGGAGGCATGCGGACCCTGCCACTGGGGCCTTCGGTGGAGCTCCCTATGGGGCCACGAAAAGTGTGAGGGGTGTGCCGAAATCTGTGCGGTGGGCGCATGGGAGCGCAGCCACTGGGGCCTTCGCTGGAGCTCCCTATGGGGCCACGAAGCGTATGAGGGGTGTGCCGAAATCTGTGCGGTGGGCGCATGGGAGCGCAGCCACTGGGGCCTTCGCTGGAGCTCCCTATGGGCCACGAAACGTGTGAGGGGTGTGCCGACATGTGGTGTGCGGGACGCATGCGGGCCGCCCACTGGGGCCTTCGGTGGAGCTCCCTATGGGGCCACGAAACGTGTGAGGGTGTGCCAGTGGAGGGGGTGGAAATGCCACTGGGCCTTCGTGTGGACGCTCCGGTGTGCGGCCACGACTGGGGCCTTCGGGTGGTGGGCTATGGGGCCAGCTGGGGCCACGAAACGTGTGAGGGTGTGCCGAAATGGTTCGCCATGGGCGCGCCACTGGGCCTTCGCTGGGGCTCCCTATGGGGCCACGAAACGTGCGAGGGGTGTGCAGAAATGGGTGCGGTGGGCGCATGGGAGCGCAGCAACTGGGGCCTTCGGTGGAGCTCCCTATGGGGCCACGAAACGTATGAGGGGTGTGCCGAAATCTGTGCGGTGGGCGCATGGGAGCGCAGCCACGGGGGCCTTCGGTGGAGCTCTCTATGGGGCCACGAAACGTGTGAGGGGTGTGCCGAAATGGGTGCGGTGGGCGCATGGGAGCGCAGCCACTGGGGCCTTCGCTGGAGCTCCCTATGGGGCCACGAAACGTGTGAGGGGTGTGCCGAAATCTGTGCGGTGGGCGCATGGGAGCGCAGCCACTGGGGCCTTCGCTGGAGCTCCCTATGGGGCCACGAAACGTGTGAGGGGTGTGCCGAAATCTGTGCGGTGGGCGCATGGGAGCGCAGCCACTGGGGCCTTCGCTGGAGCTCCCTATGGGGCCACGAAACGTGTGAGGGGTGTGCCGAAATGGGTGCGGTGGGCGCATGGGAGCGCAGCCACTGGGGCCTTCGCTGGAGCTCCCCATGGGACCACGAAACGTGTGATGGGTGTGCCGAAATGGGTGCGGTGGGCGCATGGGAGCGCAGCCACTGGGGCCTTCGCTGGAGCTCCCTATGGGGCCACGAAACGTGTGAGGGGTGTGCCGAAATGGGTGCGGTGGGCGCATGGGAGCGCAGCCACTGGGGCCTTCGCTGGAGCTCCCTATGGGGCCACGAAACGTGTGATGTGCCGAAATGGGTGCGGTGGGCGCATGGGAGCGCAGCCACTGGGGCCTTCGGTGGAGCTCCCTATGGGGCCACGAAACGTGTGAGGGGTGTGCCGAAATTGGTGCGGTGGGCGCATGGGAGCGCAGCCACTGGGGCCTTATGATGATGACGATGAGGATGATAGGAGGGGAGAGGAGGCGGAGGAGGAGAGGAGGAGGGGAGACGCGGGCCACCGTCTCTTCAAAACGAGGACCCAACACCACAGGATGGTTGGGAACAATCGAAAAATAGTCGGGGAACGATTTTTTGATCATCTGTGGGTATTGTTCGAGCATTTTGGGGTAGTTGTGTCGTCCAGAATCCCCCTGCCGGAGGACATGCCCGACCTAAGCCTCTTCCTCCGTCTCGTTCTTCCCCATCCCTCCCCGTCACGAGCCATTTCTCAATGTCGCGCCGCCAGGCGTGGAACGTCGCGAACGCTTGTTCAAAAGGTGCCCAGAGATTGCTGTCATGGAGGGCGGTCGGGTGAAACAACTGAACTCCGCTTGACCCCAATTCGGAAGGGCATTTCTCCTGCCAGCGCTCCGCGAAGCAGTTCTGAGCAACTCGGAGCAATGCAATGCAAAGCATTGCAGGGCGTTGCTTGGCACTGCTTGGCATTGTTTTGCGTCGATTGGCGGTGGTTGGCGCTGCTTGGCATTGCTGGGATCGGCGGAAAGGGCAAATGTAGCATATGCTCTGCGCCGCGATCTGGGAGGGCTGGGGGGCCGCCACGATTTCTGCGAGGCGGTGCCGTGCCGCTCGTGGCCACCTTGGGCTCGAGCGCCGAGCCGGCAGGACCGCAGGATCGCTTCATGTTGGACCTGCGGATCGTGATCGACAGTCTCAGATCTACACCGCTCGATGATCCTCAGGACGTGTGTTGGCCCAAGCGCGTGTGTTTACCCCGCTCGGTGAGGCTCCGCCGCTTCCTCCCTCCTCTTCTCGGCCTAACTCAAGCTTCGCGCGGCCCGCTTAGCTTCGACCGGAAGAGGTGCGCTCTCGACCCGCGAATCAAAAAGTGTTTACCCCGTTCGGTTCCGCCGACAGCCCGCTGCCTGTGTCGGCTCTCATTTCGCCGCCCTGCGCTGCATTCGAGGGCCTCGGTGGACACGCACACGTTGGCGCGAACACGCGCTCTGAGGATCGTCGAACCGCTCCATCGAGGTCACGGCCGAGCCGCCTTCCAAGGCGTCGGCGGCATCTTTCCGCCGCCCGGGGGCGAGGTCCTGCCAATGGCTGGGGCCTAAGGAGGAAACGCGAGGGCGCCCCAACCCTTCAGCGTCAGCCTCAGGCCAACGGCGCTCAGGGCGGGGGTCCTCCAGTGCTCCACAGCAGCCACGGCGATGGTCCTCTCACGTCGACAGGCACATGGTGTTCGTCCCTGCCTTGGACGGGGAGAGGGAGCACACCGCCCTCACGGACGTGATCTTGGCCACGGAGGATGACATGGTGCAGGTTTTGAACGAGATGTTGGTGAATGGGCTCCCCCGTTGGGCGCCAGTCAGAAAGGCTCACTCTGAGCGGACCTCCACCGCTTGGCAGAGCCCGTTGGCTGCGAGCAGCCACAGCTAGGCGGCGCGCAGTCCAAGGCAGCAGCCCCAGCACCAAAAGGTGTGGTGAAGCCGCTGGCCTCGGGGGCCGCCCCTTGCCTGCACTCCTTTTCCAGGGTGTTCGTGCAATGGGGTACGGTGCAGTTCTAGGAATGCGCGCAAGATGTTCGACGCCGTTGGGGACGAGCGCGCTGGCCCGCCGCGGGGCTATGAGGCACCCTCGACCTCGCAGCTGTCTACCCTGGCCGCGAAGCTGGCGTTGGACACAGCACCAGCGGTTGACATAGCGGCGCTCGGCCCTTTCGGGCGCGCGGACTACATTCGATCCTCTTCGACGCCGAAGTGCGCATCGGCGACAGCTGGGCCCGGCGCGAGGTGGTCGGCCCCAGCGATTACGAGACGTGGAGGAAAGGCTAGCGCGTCTACAGGACGCCTGCCTTGATTCTCAAGTTCTCGAAGGTAGGGCCCCCCTCGACGACTTCGAAGAGGGAGGGCGTGCGGCATCTTTCCGTGGCTTTTCCGAACTCTTGGGGGTTGATCTACGTCACCGTGGGCCACGTGATCGAGGAGCGCTGGACCTGGGTCAAGGCCTGCATCGAACGCTTGGTCGAGCGCAACACCTTCCCGGGCGACTTCAACCCGCAGCGGCCGTGGGAGGCCGCCCTGACGCACGCGGCGCACGGGTCTGGCTCCGACGGCGAGTGGTGGAATATGTGCTTCGAGCTGCAGTGCCTCACGTCCCCAGGGGCTCCGGCAGCACGGCGGCGGCGGCCTCGGCTCTCGAGGGGTCCACCACGGTCTTCGAGGTCGCGGAGCAAAAACCAGGGCCACGGCGGCCGTGGGCCTCGGGGCTGGCGCAGAGCCCGTTTCGGGCGGGCTGTCAGCGGGCCCCGCGCCGACGAAGAAGCCAAAGGTCACGTACGCGATGCGCCAGCAGAAGATCGAGTCCAACGGCATGCGCCCAGATGGCCGCTTCCTTCGCCACTACGGGACCGAACTGGGCTACGTGTGGAAACGTACCGCGTACGGATGTTCCACGCCGGGCGCTGCCTCGCCAGCGCGGGAGCACCACTGCGAGTGATGCGTGGGGGGCCATCGCGCTGTCGACGACAGCTGCGCGGCGCGCAACTTGTACCGTCCCAAACCCGAACAGCAGCGCAGTCCAAAGCGCGTGGGATGCCTGTGGGGGGCGCTTGAAAGGATGCTGGAAAACATTCGTGGGGAGCTTGCAAGTTCCTGAAAAAGGGAGCTGCGCAATAGCTCCCATAGAGCTTCGAAAGATCAGCTGACAGGTTTCCAGCACGCGTATTGGGAACGAGTGGGAAAACGCTAGCCGGGACACGCGGGAAGCTCAAGCAACCCGCTGCGAGAATGCCTGCCTGGGGGTCTTGGAGAGGAGGTGGCGTAGCCCTGCCTGCCAGCTTTCTTTGCCGACAATCTTAGCTCGCCAAGGAGTTATCCAGGAACAGGCCGCCGGGCTGGCGGTCGGTAGGGCCGGCGGGCAAAGGGCGCGGCAAGAACCCGCGGGGCTGATCCCCCGATTTGCCGATTAGCAAACGGAAGCGCGCGCCGAGCGCCAGCGTGCCAGCGCCAGCGCGGTCATTTCAGCGACAACTGTGCCCACCTCAAAACCTCCCTCGTTGATTCTTCCTACCACCACGTCTGCGTCAGCGCCCGCGATGGTCGAGAAGGAGGAATGAGAGGTAAGGGACCAGGGCAACGACGGCGACGACGAGGGGTTTCACGATGAACGCTACGCGGATATAACTTGTTTGTTCGTCATTCCTCATTTGTTCCGTTCCCATCGCTGGTGGTTTCGGTCTCAGCTGGTGTCCGAAAAGCCAACCACTTGGAATTCGCACTGTCGCGCCCAGCGTGCCAACCTGTTCAACGAGGGCCACCTCCAGGAAACCCCGGGCCGGGCACTCGGGTTTCTGCTGGCAGTGCGGCCCCGTGTCCTGGTGGATCCGCCGAGATTGCGCCACGCAACCGCCTGTGCCGACTCGTGGGCGCTCATGAGCGCCAATTGCGCTGAACTTACACTACGTAGTTTACACCTTACGGCTTGCACCACATGGTTTACACGACAGAACTTGCACTGCATAGTTTGCACGACGTAGCTTGCACCACATAGCCTACAACGTGTAGTTTCATCTCCAGTCCACACCACATGCATTACGCAACCTAACTTGCACCGCGTAGCTTGCACCGCCATGGCTCACACCATCTAGCTCACACCTCATTGCTGACACAACATAGTTTACACCACTTAGCTTGAGCCGCATACGTTTTACCGTATTGCAATCACTCACTGGTTTGAGTTCGTGTTGGCTAGCAATATTATATGTATGACGGTGATTTGTGGCGATAGTGACAATTATGATGTTGACGATGCCGATGATGATGGTGGTGGTGTTGACGGTGATGGTGATTGTTATGATGATGATGTTGATGGCGATGACGACGATGATTGCGAGCATGTTTGTCGTGGTAGTGGTGATGATGAGGATTGATTGTTGTTGTGAATATGATGACGATGATGACGGTGACGATGACGATGATGCTGCTGATGATGATGATGATGATGATGATGATGATGATGGTGATGGCCGTGATGATGCTGTTGTTGATGATGATGTTGATGATGATGGTCATGATGTGATACTGATGATGATGCTGATGATGATGGCGATCATGGTGGTGATGATGATGGCGTTGATGATGATGGTGATGATGATGAGGAGGAGGAGGATGGTATTCGTGGTGGTGGTGGGGGTGGTGGTGAGGAGGAGGAGGAGGAGGAGAAGGAGGAGAAGGAGGAGGAGGAGAAAGAGGAGGAGAAGGGGGAGCAGGCAGCGGAAGAGGGAGTGGGAGGCAGAGGGGGAGGAAGAGGAGGAGGAGGGGGAGGAGGAGGAGAAGAAGGAGGAGGAGGAGGAGCAGGAGGGGCAGGAGGAGGAGAAGAAACATTGGGAGCATGAGGAGCGGAAGCAGGAGAAGAAGCATGAGGAAGAAGAGGAGAAGAAGCATGAGGAGGAAAAGGAGCATGAGAAGCAGGAGAGGCGAACCCGTGGGGCCGGCGCCCAGGAACTTCCCGTCCTGTGGTGCGGGGACGGCCCGGCCAAGTGGGTGTATTTGCTCGTGGTCGACGGCCTGTCAACGTCCTGCCCCACGGTGGCGAGGCGAGGGCGGGGGCGGCAGGAGCAAAACCACCCTCGCCAGGCCTCCCAACTGGGGTTCGGGCACAGTCAACCCGCATAGTGAGGATGAGCGACTTTCCAAGGTTACCCTTACCCTTGCAGCTTCCTCCTTCGGCCCATCCCTGGCTGCTTTAACTGGCCGCGCCCCGCTCGCAGAGTGTCGACGTGGCCTTCCAAGGCTCTCGCATCGTCTGCCTGTCTTTCTGTCTGTCTGTCTGTCTGTATGTCTGTCTGTCCTGTCTGTCCTGTCTGTATGTATGTACGTGTGCTTGCACGCACGCACGTATGTATGGATGCAGGTATGTTTGCATGTCTGTCTATATGTATTCATGCATGTATGTATGTACGTATATTCGCATGCATGCATACATGCATGTACATATGTACGTGTGTACTTACGTGTGCATGTATTCGTGTTTGTATATTTGCAGGTAGTCATGTATGCAAGCATGTGTGTATGCCTGCACGTATGCCTGTGTGTGTTTTGGTATATATGTATGCTCTCATGCATGCACGTATGTATTCATGTCTGTTGTTGTATGTGTGTATACGTTTATGTATGAATGCATGCATGCATACATGTATGTGCGTGCACGTATGTATACATGCATGTATGTATGTATGTATGTATGTATGGATGGATGTATGTATGTATGTATGTATGTATGTATGTATGTGTGTATGTGTGTTTTTTGTGTATGCGTGCATGCATGCACGCATGCATGTATGTGTGTATGCATGTGTGTATGTATGTGTGTATGTGTGTGTGCATGCATGTATGTATGTATGCATGCATGCATGCATGCATGCATGCATGTATGTATGTATAGATGTATGAGTGTGCATGTGTGTATGCGTGCATGCATGTATGTGGGCATGCGTGCCTGCATGCAAGCGTGTATGCATGTGTGTATGCATGCACGTATGCACGTACGTATATATGTATATATGCATGTATGTATGCTTACATGTGTATATATGGGTGTATGTATGTGTGTACATATGCATGTACATATTTAGATATACGTGTCAATACTAACGTACCTACGTATGCATCGATGCATGTATGTATTTGCGCATGCAACTACGTACGCACGTATACATGTATGCATGTGCGTATGTATGCATGCATGATAGTACGCATGCGTGCATGCATGTATGTATGCATGTATGTGTACATGCATGTATGTCAGAGTGAGGGGGGCCGAACGGGCATTCATTGTCCCTGGGTGCGTGGCTGAAAAAAAGGAATCCGTGGTGAGGACTCTGCTTGTTGCGTTGTTGTTGTTGTTGTTGTTGTTGTTGTTGTTAGTGTTGTTTCTGTTGTTGTTCCACCCGCGACCCACCCCGCGACCCACCCCGCGACCCACCCCGCGACCCACCCCGCGACCCACCCCGCGACCCACCCCGCGACCCACCCCGCGACCCACCCGCGACTCACCCGCAACCCACCCGCGACCCACCCCACGACCCAGCCGCGACCCACCCCGCGACCCACCCGCGATCCACCCGTGACCCACCCTCGACCCATTTGCGACCCACAGGCGACCCACCCCGCGACACACCCGCGACCCACCCGCGACCCAGCCGCGACCCAACAGCGACCCACCCGCGACCCACCCGCGACCCAACGGCGACCCATTTGCGACCCACACGCGACCCTCCCGCGACCTGCCCACATGGGTTCCACGGAAAAATTGGCGCCTGCGGCGGGCTCGTTGTATAATTTGTGAAAAGTTGGCGCTTGAGGCGGGCTTCTCCAGAGTCTCGCAGACTGCCGGCGTCCCCACTGCCCCCTCATTCGTATCCGCATCTGCGGGGTGCTATGGTATGTGCGTGTATATGCATGTATGTATGTATGCGTACATGTATGCAAGTGTGTGCGATGTGTTATGTATGTGTGCATGCATGTGTGTATGTATGTATGCATGCATGCATGCATGCATGTATGTATGCATGTCTGGTTGTATGTCTATGTACATGTGTATGCATATGCATATGTATATGTATATATATGTGCATGTATATGTATATATAAGTGCATGTATATGATTATGTGTATGTATATGTACATGCATATGCATGTGTATATGTATATGGATGTATGTATGTATGTTTGTATGTATGTATGAATGTATGCATGTCTGCATATACGTGTGTATGTATGTATGGATGGATGTATGTATGTATGCAACTGTATGTATCTGTATGTATGCGTGTATGCATCTATGTTATGTATGTATGGATGGACGTATGTATGTACGTATGTGTGTATGCATGTATGTAGGTTGTCCTGTCTGTATGTATGTATGATTGGATGGATGCATGGAGGTATGCATGTATGTATGAATGTGTGTAGGCATGTAGCGTGTATGAGTGTATGTGTATGTATGAATGTGTGCATGTATGCATGTATGTGCGTATGGATGTATGCGGATGGGTGTAGTTACATTCATATTTACACATCAGGTAATACCTCCACGTTTCGGTTCGCCTTCAAAATGTTGGCCGTATGGCGCCAGAGAGGCTCGCCGCGACCAGTGCACGCCAGTACCGCGATGCGCTTCGGCTGTGGGGTGCATTTGTCATGCGAGGCTGACAGGACCCATAGACTCTACCAGGTCAGAGGGCTGAAAGAGCTCTCCGCTGAAGTTGGGGCTCAGAGGCTCCGACTCTTGTTGGGGAGAGGGGTAATTCAGGCAGTGCTGCTTATGGGCATCATGAGGTTCTGAGGGCCCGCAGGCGTAATTGGGCGCATAGGGCTCCTCAGGCGGATGAGCTCATTGGGGGTCTAGGGCTCGTAGTGCCCTTGGTAAAGATAAGTCACGGGCTCTTGGGCCCTTCAGAGCGGGCGGGCTGATCGGGGTCATGAAGCTCATGGGGCCCAGAGGGGTCATTGTGGCCACCTTGCTCAGGAGACTCGTGGGACTCGTAACGGGCCGTCGGGGCCATAGGGCTCGCACGCGTGGAACATCATAACCACGTCGGCGCGCTGCTCCATGCGAGTCCACACGGACAACGCAGCGGGCGCTTCCCGAAGAGGGTGGCTTGCGAAGTCTTGAAATTCCGGGTCTGGCCGCCAGGCCTCCAGGTAGTTCCCTTTGGATGGCCATCATCATCTGCTAATGACGAGTCTGCGTCGGGAACCGCCAGCGCGTCGGCGACGGGAAGCATAGGAGGGGTTGCCGAAGCTCGGGTGCCGTCAGCAATTAGCAAAGAGTGGCTCGCCTCGGAGGCCGCGGCGCATCGGCGATGGCGAGCACGGGGGCTAATGACGAAGGTTCGGCAGTGGCATCCTCATCCAAACGCAGAGTCCGAAGCTCAGCCTCCAACGCTCGAATTGGCCGCAGAGCCCACGATGTGTCCGTTCGCAGCTGTGGGTTTGCTTCTTGCGAGTGCGTGGTCAACTGTTAGAGCAAGAAGCCTCGGGCTCCATAGCAGGGAACGCCGTGGGCGCGGCAAGTGGATGACAGAGTTGCCCACGACGCAGCGAAAATAATGACGTCGAGCGTGTCCAAAGTTGGTGCGTCGCCGTCTGTGGATCGATACTTGCGTTTGGCTTGCGGGTTTGCTGCCATGAGGAATGGAATGGCAGCAGAGCGCCAGCTGAAAGGAATTCGAGCTCAGGCCACAAGCAGATGTGCGAGAGAAGGACTGGCTCACGGAGGCCGTGGGGCTCGTAGGACTCGGGCTCGTCGGGCCCATAGGGCTCGTAGGGCTGAGGAGCTCTTTGGGCTCATAGGGGCTGAAGGGGCTCATGGGGCTCCTAGGGGAGGAGTCTGGGGGGCCTCTTGGAGGGCATACAGGGCTCATAGGGCTCAGAGGGCTCGTAGGGGGGAAAGGGGTTGGAGGGGTCGTAGGGCGCATGAGCCCATGAGGACCGTGGGGTCCGCACGGGAGCCTGCAGGGCACCGGATCTACAGGCAAGGCGCTGAAACACGGGCCACTCTGCGTTCCCGAGAGGCCCTGGTTTGGGGGCCGCTCCCCGGACACAGGTCGGGGAGCCCCATTCGTGGCCGGGGCTCGCCGTGGGCAGAGGAGCTCCGTCGTTCCCCCGGGCATCGCCCGGGCGTGCGCACTTCTCCCGCCGAGGAGCATCGAGGAGTACCTCCGATCGCCGCACAAGAAAAATCACCCACGATGCCGAAGCATGCACGGGGAAGGGACGTCCGAGCGACGCCGAGCCCTTTGCGTGGCGTTCCTTGCGGTGGCACGGCGGCCGCAGAGAAGGAGGCAGCGAGCGGCCGCGGAGACTGGCAGAGGAGAGGCCCCCTCGAGACGGCCGAGGCACGACCGCCGCTGGCGCGGTCTTCGGCGGGGCGGGCCCTTCGGCGGCCCTCGGCGGCCGTCGGCGGCCTCAGCGGCGACCAGCCGCGGCCTCTGGCGGCCGTCGAGGCCGGGCCCCGTGCGGCCGAGGCGACGGCCATCGGCGGTGTGTGTTGGCGTGTGCGTGCGTGTGCGTGTGCGTGTGCGTGTGCGTGTGCGTGTGCGCGCGTGTGCGCGCGCGTGCGTGCGTGCGTGCGTGTGCGTATGCGTGTGCGTGTGCGTGTGTGTGTGTGTGTGCGTGTGTGTGTGTGTGTGTGCGTGTGTGCGTGTGTGTGTGTGTGTGTGTGTGTGTGTGTGCGAGTGTGTGTGTGTGTGTGCGTGTGTTTGTGTCGGCGGTGTGTCTGTGTGTGTGTGTGTGTCCTCTCCCCCCTCTCCCCTTCCCCTCGCGGCCCTGCGCGACCCGGTCGATTCCCTATGGGCGGAGCCTCGGCTCCCCGCTGCGTGAGCTGGGCCGGCCGCGCGTGTGCTCCCACTCGGCTGTCTGCGCCGCGCAGCCGCGCGCGTGCCCGCAACGCCAGGAAGTGTGTGTGTGTGTGCGTGTGTGTGTGTGTGTGTGTGCGTGTGTGTGCGTGTGTGTCTGTGTGTGTGCGTGTGTGTGCGTGTGTGTGTGCGTGTGCGTGTGTGTGTGTGTGTGTGTGTGTGTGTGTTTGTATGTGTTTGTCTGTGCCTGTGCCTGCGTCCTTGTCTGTGCCTGTGCCTGTGCCGGCGTCTGTGCCTGCGTCTGTGTCTGTGTCTGCGTTTGTGTGTGACTGGCGCCCGCGCCAGGCTCGTGCTGCACTACCAGCCAACGGACTGGCTGGACCGGCTCTTCAACACCAACCATGTGGCTCGGGCTTCGCGCGAATTTGGGGGATGATCAGCAAGGGGAGGAGGGAGGGGGAGGGCAGACAAGAGGAGGAGGAGGAGGAGGAAGAGGAGGAGGAGGGATGAGGCGGGAGGAGGAGGAGGAGGATGAGCTAAAGTTGACGTCGGTGGTTCAGCATCTGGTGCGGACGCAGTTGATGAGGGCGCGAGTTCCTCGCGTTCGCCGATCGCTGACTCTTATAGCACTGCCGACACATACATTCAATGCGATTTGATTTCCCAGCAGGCTTCCGATACGGAGGTCAAGAAGCTTCTACGGAAGTTGGGTGAGGCAAGTCTGAAAGCAATGACAGCCATGGGGCAAGTGTGCTTCTCTGCGCTGGCTCATGGGTGGAGATAGTGACAGCGGGTGGGAAGCAGATGAAGCATCCAGCTCAAACGTTTCGTCAAACACGAACTCCCACGATGATCTTTCATGCCATGAGGCTAGAGCTCATGGTGGCGAAGATAGTAGCTCCAATGCGTCGCTTTCTCGGCGATATGTTGGAGGTTCATTGCCTCAGTTCTGTCAAGGGTTTGCAGCTCAATGGATCTTGCGCGAAAGTGGTTGGATGGAGCGCCGAAGCGGAATCTTACAGCATTGACTCCCGTGGTGGGTGGCTGGCTTTGACGCGAGGCGATGCTTGTTTTCTAGACTAGAAGCAGGCGGAGCATGCAGCATCGACGAGACCCTGCTCTCGGGGCTTGGGCCAGGGAAGGTCTCGCGACATCCGGTAAGCGCACTCACTTGTTTGACTGCGCTGGTTGGACTTTGCCGTTTGCAACTTTTGGGGGGGAACCCATGGAGTCATGGGGGCGTGCGCGTGCAATCTTGGGGCTTGGGCAAAGAGGCGCAATCCGTTCGTGACGGCGCGCATCCCCTCGCCGCGTATTCGCCATGCATTCCCTGAGCCAGCCGTGTGCCTACAAAGAGTCAATTGTGATTGCAACATGTTTCCAGGAGCTGTCGTGGCAAGCTTACCCGGTGTAACTTCGCATTCCGATTGTTCAGAAGCCGTAATCAGAGTCTAAATTTAGATCGTTGATCGAAAAAGCTTCTGGCAATGCAACATTTGTCCCTCATGTTCTCGCCCCCTCGCTTCTATCTCCCCCGCCTCCCCGGGTCTATTTGTTATTGTTTTTGTTTCCCGGTTCTTCCGCCCCCTCCCCTTCCCTTGCTCGTTTCCAGCCACGCTTCCTCAACATCCATTCCGAAGCGTGTCTTTAGACGAGGCAGGTTCAGTCGTTAGACTGTCCGGCCGCACCTCCAACAGTAGTGTCGAATGTGCCGACTCAGTGAGCGTCTTAGGCTTTGCGAAAGATGAAACAAGACGAGGAGGAGGAGGAGGAGGAGGAGGAGGAGGAGGAGGACGCCTCTGTCGTGGCCATGGCGGTCGGATCGGGACTTCTCATCTGCGCTCGCCTCCTCCCAGGACGGCGCCTCGGGCTGGTCCCGGCGTGCTGCTCGGGCAGCCCCTCCGCACCCTTGCGTGGAAGGGGTCCCGTGCCTAGCCCGTCGGCCATCGTTGGTGCCGCCGGCTCGACCCGCCCGCCGAGCGCTTCGGCCTTGACCCCGACGCCTCTCCCTCTGAGCCCCATCCGCCGACTCCGCCCACCGGCCCGAGGCCGAGCAGGCAGGGACACCAGCGCCGACACGGCAGCCTTCCGCTCGACTCGGCACCAGCTGGAGCCAGCTCTCCCGCGCGTCAGGTTCGTCCCCTTGGGCCGTCGGGCCCCACGGTAAGAACCCAGCCCTTGGCGGGGAATTCGGAGGCTCGGGCGCCTTCTCCGTCTCCGTCTCCTCCTCCTCCTCCTCCTCCTCCTCCTCCTCCTCCTCCTCCTCCTCCTCCTCCTCCTCCTCCTCCTCCTCCTCCCCCCTCTCCCCCTCCCCCTGTTAGCCACCAGCGCCAGCGTCGGCGCCTTCGCGCCTCGGCACCACGCTTTCCGTAACTTGATTTGTCGGCTTGCGTTCGGCAGCGCGGGCGTGGTGGCGCGCGATCTGACGTTCAATTGCGATTTCGGTTTTCAGTTTTGGTAGCAGAAGCCAAGGCAGCGTGGGACGGACGGACCTCTTCTCTCCCCCGTCCTCTTGGTCCTGCTCGTGCCGCCAGGGAGAGGAACGAGGGGGGCCTCATTGAATTCAATCCAAATCCCCACCAACCCTGCGCGTTACGTGCAGCGCAGGGGGCGGAGGACCGTCTCCCCATCCCACCATCACAGGGGGATGCGAAGTCCCTGGAGTCGGGACGGGGTGGGCAGGGACTGGCATCATGAGCCGGCCCACGACTCAAAGAAGCATCATAGCTTCCACCATCAGGGAACCTGACTGGTCCACTTACGGATCCAATACATTATTTCCCTCGTTGGTGTCAGCGTCATGCGAAGCAGCATGCTCTCCCCTTCCTCCAGAGGGTCCTGCTCCGCTCCGCGGCGACCCCAAAAGCTCGGTCACCGGACCTCTCTCCCACGTCCCGCCCTGGCCAGAGTCTCGAGAGGCATCTGGCCGTGGCGACAAGGAGCCTCTCTCCAGGAGGGGAAACACACACAGACACAATTCATCGGCGATTCCCAGGGCAAAAATATGGGAAGTGGGGGGGACAAAAACCGAGAAGATATGCGAAAATCTGGGGAATCCTGGGATCTGTGTGTATTTCTTTGTGTGCTCCTGGGCCCCACTACCTCTCCCAGGGACCCACGCGCGAGGAAGAGCGGTCAGAGGCCTCGAGCCTCGAGCTTCGAGCCGCGCCTCAGGGCACGCTGCCTCCTCCTCCTCCTCCTCCTCCTCCTCCGCCCTCCCCGAAGGCGGTCGCGCCGGCAGGGACCATCGCCGCCCGCCCGGACAGCGGCCGGTGAGCTGCGCACGCGCTGCGCGCGCTCCCGGGCTCTGGTCAGTTCCCGGCGCTGGGGCGCGTGGCGGAGGAGCGTCCCGGGGAGGGCCAGAGCTCGAAGAGGCGGGACAGGACGGTCCTCCTCCTCCTCCTCCTCCTCCTCCTCCTCCTCCTCCTCCTCCTCCTCCTCCTCCTCCTCCTCCTCCGGCGGCAGGTTCGAGCCTAGAGGTCTTCGGACGGCTTCGCCGGTTCCCCTTTCCTGCCTCGGCTCGCTTTTTCTGGCGGCTGCGCCTCGTCGGGAGCGTTCCAGGGGTGCCCCGGCCGTCCCGAAGGGCTGCCGGAGGCCCGAGTTACGAATGGGAGCGTGACCAAGGATCATATCGGGAGGGTCGTGAATCTGTTCAGCGCCGTCTGTGGCTGGAAGGCCCAGCGATATTGAAACGCAGTGTGGAAGCACTCATGGAAGCAGTCACGCAATGCCAGCAACAAGGGTGCAGCACATTTGTCAAGATGACAGTGCTTCGTCTTGCAGTTGACACTCTGCCTAACCGCCACCTTGAATTCATAGAGCCGAGTTTCTCACCAGATACGTTCGCCACGGCGGATTGCCGCAGCCGCGCTCGAATGGCCAACAGTTTGTGCAACAGAACCAGCCGCTTGAACTAATCGGCAGAGAGTGCAGCATTGGTTAGAAGAAGTATGTCGAAACGCGGCATCGTGTTTGGCAAGTCTCGCTGGTCAAAACGTAGTTTCTAGCAATCTCGTAAGCATGGTCTGACTTCTTTATCAAAACTGAGCCGTCATGGACGACGTCTCAATAACACGAGCAAGTAATTGGTGGACAGCAAGCAATGGAACCATGCACTCTGTATTATCAGTGGACGTGGAGGTTGCTGCAAATACGTTCGTTGCCCAGTCTGGAATAGTATGTCACTGCATTGATGTTGCACGTTGCTGACGGTCCAAACAATACCGAACATCTGAACAACGTGGGAGGTAGTATGCGGCAGAGATCACGGTGAAGAATCACTGACATTCACATGGAATGTGTAAGTCTTTCTACGGGCCATTGCAAGAACATTTACTTGAACTTGATATCAGAAGTTACTGCCACAGCGAGGGCGACGGAATATGCTTGCGTTGACACCGTGTTGGAGTAATGTCGAACTCTTGATCATCAGTTTTGGCCCGGACGATTCCGCCTATTCGTAAGCGCCCGTTGTCCCGTCAATCGAGAGACGCGCGACGCATTTCCAACATTGAATATCAGTGTGCACCCAGTAGCACAACAGTTCTTGTGTCGAAACAACGGTTTCGGTATCGAAGCACTGGTTTCCGTATCGAAATGACAAAATCAGGTATTCACCCACATCGGTATCTGCTAAGGTATTGTTCGATATCCGTGAAGTTCGGCTTCGGTATCCGCCAAGGTCGGTGTCCGTAATTACCCAGCTCGGCTTCGGTATCCATTGAGGTCGATTTCGATGTCAGTTCAGGGTGGCTTCGGTGTCTCAGCATTGCTTTCGGTATCCTCGCAGGGCGGTTTTTGACCCAGGCTTGTTTCGCAACCAATTGATCGTATCTGGGACCTTCCCTTTTCCTCTTGAGCGGATTCGTGCGCGCTTTTGGGAAAAGCGGCGGACACAGGTTGAAGTAACATTTTGGGTAGCACATTGTCTTTGGGGCGCACTAGTCACATGTTGCAAGCATTTAGCAGCAGCGGTAGCTTCATGAAGCTTTGTCCGCCACGCGAAACAAAACGAAACACAGATTGAAGGTCGGACGTTTGATTATTGGCCGTCACCGTCGTCGGTAGGACTTGGTTGGAACGCGCATGGGTTTGTCGTTGAATTCCCGGCTCGGATCCCGCGGGGAGTTCGCTAGTTCGCTATGGGCGTTGCCAAAACACAGAACAAAATGCATCGCGCAATTGTGTCACCACATGAGGGGTTGGAGTTAGCGTCAGGTTGCGCGCCGCCCCGCCTGCACTTTCAAACAAAAGTTGACATATCAGAATCACGGCGCCGACAAGTCTTGTCTTGGTGGCGAAGATGAGGAGGAGGACGAACAATAAGAGGATGGGATCGGGAATATGGAACAAGAAGAGGGGGAAAAACAAGTTGTGAGAGGGGGAGGAGGAAAAGATGCTGCCAGATTATGAGCAGCAGGATTTGCCGCTCGTGCAGGCTGAGCCTTCTTACGCTTCAGCTGTGGCTGACTTGCTGCTCGTTTGATCGTTTGTCAAGCGAGCCTCTGACGATAGGGTGAATGGAGCGAGTGTCCATGAGAAAAGAATAGGAGCAAGAGTGCGGGGGCACAGAGAGCCGGAGGAGGAACAGAACAAATAAGTCCGAAGGACGATTAGTCGCAATAGTTGGAAGTGGGGGAGGAAGAGAAAGATGAGGTGGAGTCGAATCAGATGGAAGAACCGATGCAGGACAGCAACATTAATAACCATAAATTGCGGGTCGCGAGTCCGAATCGGAGTTGGAAAACGGACGAAAACGAAACGTGAATCGAGAGTTTTTGCATATAGTATAAGCAGCCGTCGGCTTTTTCTTGTTTCCACCTTACGAAAACATTGGCCAAGGGTTTTGCGCGCTACTTGCCTCAATATATTTGCCAATTGTATGATCATAATCGGCACAGATGCCAGTACGCACATCTAATGCGCGGCAGTGGCGACGGCAGAAACTAGCACCATTCATGTGTATAGTTTGGAAGGCACGGGGCATCTGACAAAATGATCCAAATCAAAAAAGCCAGCGTTCCGCAGGGGAAGAAGGCAGCATTGAACAGCAAGAAGAACAAGCATTGGAAGTGGTGGAAGACGAGTATTCAAACATGACGATGAGGACGATCGACTCGCAATATATTAAGACTGAGGAGGAGGAAATTAGCGAGGAAAAGAAATAATAAAAATGGGGAAAAGGAAACCGACCCGGAAAGGAAGAAGAGGAGGACGAGGAGGAGGAAGAACAGGAACCATGATTGGGAATTGTGAGCCGTGGAGGGCGTGAATGAAGAGGGGGGGAGGAGGAAAATTATGGGGAATTTGCCCCGTCCGTTGCATTTTTTGGCAGGAGTTACCGGAGATGACGAAGAGGAGAGGAAAGAAACAGGAGGCGAAGGCCTCTTCAAAGATTGTTTAGACGCTCTTGAAGCCTCCTAGGGGCTTCCCAAACACGTACCAAAGGCATTTTGATAGTTGGCTTTTCTGTTCCAGGCCTTCGGATCCTCTTCGGAATCTCTTTGACTATTTCCAGCGAAACGAAAAGTCGAAAAACGCAGGACATTAAACCAAAATCAGCGAACCAATTTGAGCCCTTTTGTTGGCCCACTGGTTAGTCGCGGTAATAGCATTAGTTCATATAAATTCTCTGGTTCATATGGAAATCATGGGAGAGAAAGAAATCATGATTCTAATGTAGGGGGCGGAAATAACGATAACATTGCAGACAATTTCATTAAATTTTACGGCATGTGGTGTTATGGTTATTTCGTGGGCCGTCCATGTTGGAAAATGAAGTATGTTTATTTTTGCACAAGTGGTTGCAACCTAATTTAGTTTAGCGTATTCAAACGGAATGTCGGTCGTATAACAATGTGCGAATCAATTGTCGTTTCCTACAAAAAATGGAGCAATCATGATATATTGCAAAGGCATGTCTAGCATCGCAGGCATACCGATCAATCTAAAAACACGCGTTTTTACCCGGCAACAAGGGTTTCCATAAGGGAACACGGGTTTCCATAATTGAACCTGGTTTTCCATAATTGCCAACACGGGTTTCCATAATTACCAAAACGGGTTTCCATAATTGCCATTACGGGTTTCCATAATTGCCAACACAGGTTTCCATAATTGCCAACACGGGTTTCCATAATTGCTAACACGGGTTTCCATAATTGCCAACACGGTTTTCCATAATTGTCAACGCGGGTTGTCCACATGGGTTTCCATATCTACCAACACGACCCGAGCATGGCCTTGCGCGGCTTTCTAAGGCCTTTGCATCCTTCGCGCGCATATGTCTTATGCAATTAAGTGGCCCCCTGTCCCTCGTTACGCGGGCGCAACACGGCGCCCGGACGCCCGGAGGCGCCGTGGGAGCCAGATCTGTGAGGTTATTATTTGCCCTTTCTTTTGCTATCTTACCTTCTCCTGCTCCTCCCTCCTCCTCCTCCTCCTCCTCCTCCTCCTCCTCCTCCTCCTCCTCTCTCCTCCTCTAAGCTCGTCCCGGACAACTGTTTCGAAAGGCCCTGAGATCTAGCGCCTTGGGCGGATTTCTTTCCAAATTCTTCACGCTTCGCGTATCCCCACCAGCCCATCTCAAAACAGCAACTCTTGCGAAACATGAGGCCTCGTGGTGCCTCCTGGGGACCTCTTGTGGGCTGTCTGGGGAATTCGAGGGGCCATTTGGTGGACATCTGGGGGCCATCGTGGGGGGCTTGTATGAGCGGTGCCCGTCCTCCTGGTGTGACTCGTTCGGGCTCCTCGTGGTGTGAGTAGTTCGAGGCCCGCGTCGTGGTGTGAGTCTTTCGGGATCCTCATGGTGTGAGTCGTTCGGGCAGCGTCCTGGTGTGAGTCGTTCGGGCCCCTCCTTGTGGTGTGAGTCGTTCGGGCTCTTCGTGGTGTGAGTCGTTCGGGCCCCTCGTCCTGGTGTGAGTCGTTCGGGCTCCTCGTTGGGCCTCTTGGGGGCCTCTTGGAGCATCTTGGGGCATCTTGGGGGCCTCTTGGGGGCCTCTTGGGAGCCTCTTAGGGCCTCTTGGGGCCTCTTGGGGGCCTCTGGGGTGCATCGTGGGAGCCTCTTGAGGCATCTTGGGGGCCTCCTGGGTGCCTCTTGGGGGCTTCTTGGAGGCCTCCTGAGGGCCTCTTGGGGCCATCGTAGGGCCTCTGGCGATCTCGTCAGAAGCGCAAATGAGCGCTGTTCCTTGAGAAGAACAAAATGAATCCAAAACCTTCGTAAAATCAATGATTTTGTTATGAAGGGAGCGCGGCCTCCTTCAGAAGGCTGCTAAAAT